CACTTTTTCCCCCCAGGAGAAGCAGGACAAGGTGTTCCTGCAGGCCGAGGTGGCCAACCTGCGGCAGAACAACCGGCGCCTGCAGCAGGAGTCGAGCTCGGCCGCGCGGCAGCTGCGGCGCTTCGCCCGCATCTTCTCGGGGGCTGCGGAGCACCAGGAACCCTGAGGAGATCCAGAGGAGATCCAACGGGATGGAGAAATATTCTGGAATTGTGGTGGATCCCATCAGGAACTTCTCCAGAGCTTCTGAGCACCAGGAGACCCCACTGGGGTGGAGAAATCTCCTGGAATTGTGGTGGGATGGATCCCATCAGGATCTTCTCGGGAGCTGCGGAGCACCACGAACCCTGAGGAGATCCAACGGGATGGAGAAATATTCTGGAATTGTGGTGGATCCCATCAGGAACTTCTCCAGAGCTTCTGAGCACCAGGAGACCCCACTGGGGTGGAGAAATCTCCTGGAATTGTGGTGGGATGGATCCCATCAGGATCTTCTCGGGAGCTGCGGAGCACCACGAACCCTGAGGAGATCCAATGGGATGGAGAAATCCTCTGGAATTGTGGTGGATCCCATCAGGAACTTCTCCAGAGCTTCTGAGCACCAGGAGACCCCACTGGGGTGGAGAAATCTCCTGGAATTGTGGTGGGATGGATCCCATCAGGATCTTCTCGGGAGCTGCGGAGCACCACGAACCCTGAGGAGATCCAACGGGATGGAGAAATATTCTGGAATTGTGGTGGATCCCATCAGGAACTTCTGAGCACCAGGAACCCTGACTGGGATCTTCTGGGACTTACTGGGATCCAACAGGGACTCACTGGGATGGAGAAATCCTCTGGAATTGTGGTGGATCCCATCAGGAACTTCTCGGGAGCTTCGGAGCACCATCAGACCCCACCTGGATCCAGAATTTCCCTCCTGGGACAGAGAAATCAGATCTGAGACCTCCCCTGCAGAGCCAGAACATTCCAGAAGGATCCAGAACATTCCATGCGGGACCAAGACCCTTCCTGAGGATCCAGAACCTTCCATGGAATTCCAGAACCTTCCATACAGGACCAAGACCCCTCCTGGAGATCCAGAACCTTCCATGGACATTCCAGAACCTTCCAAAAGGGACCGAGAACATTCCTGGAGACCCAGAACTTCCCAGGTGGAACTGAGACCATCCCTGTGGATCCTGGGCATTCCAGGAAAATCCAGAACCTTCCATGTGAGACCAAGACCCTTCCTGGGGACCAACTGGGACTTACTGGGATCTACTGGGATGGAGAAATCCTCTGGAATTGTGGTGGATCCCATCAGGATGTTCTCCAGAGCTTCGGAGCACCATCAGACCCCACCTGGATCCAGAATTTCCCTCCTGGGACAGAGAAATCAGATCTGAGACCTCCCCTGCAGAGCCAGAACATTCCAGAAGGATCCAGAACATTCCATGCGGGACCAAGACCCTTCCTGAGGATCCAGAACCTTCCATGGAATTCCAGAACCTTCCATACAGGACCAAGACCCCTCCTGGAGATCCAGAACCTTCCATGGACATTCCAGAACCTTCCAAAAGGGACCGAGAACATTCCTGGAGACCCAGAACTTCCCAGGTGGAACTGAGACCATCCCTGTGGATCCTGGGCATTCCAGGAAAATCCAGAACCTTCCATGTGAGACCAAGACCCTTCCTGGGGATCCAGAACCTTCCAGAAGCTTCCACAGGGAACCGAGATGCTTCCTGTGGGTCCAGAACATTCCAGGGGGGTCCAAGACCCTCCTGGTGGGGTCCAGAACATTCCTGATGGACACAAGAACATCCCTGTGCTTCCAGAACCTTCCATGGAATTCCAGGAGCAATCCAGAAGCTTCCACAAGGAACCAAGACCCTTCCTGTGGGTCCAGAACCTTCCATGGAATTCCAGAAGCTTCCATGGAATTCCAGAACCTTCCAAAAGGGACCAAGATTCTCCCTGAAGATCCAGAACCTTCCACATGGGACCGAGACCTCTCCTGTGGATCCAGAACTTTCCAGAAGCTTCCACAGGGAACCGAGACGCTTCCTGTGGGTCCAGAACATTCCAGGGGGGTCCAAGACCCTCCTGGTGGGATCCAGAACATTCCTGAGGGACCCGAGGCCATCCCTGTGCTTCCAGAACCTTCCATGGAATTCCAGAACCTTCCATACGGGACCAAGATTCCTCCTGGAGATCCAGAACCTTCCAAAGAGGACCAAGACCCTTCCTGAGGATCCAGAACATTCCAAGGATCTCCAGAACCTTCCAGAAGCTTCCACAGGGAACTGAGATGCTTCCTGTGGGTCCAGAACATTCCTGAGGGACACAAGAACATCCCTGTGCTTCCAGAACCTTCCATGGAATTCCAGAACCTTCCAAAAGGGACCAAGATTCCACCTGGAGATCCAGAACCTTCCATACGGGACCAAGACCTCTCCTGGGGATCCAGAACTTTCCAGAAGCTTCCGTGGGGGTCCAAGACCTTCCTGGTGGGATCCAGAACATTCCTGAGGGACACAAGAACATCCCTGTGCTTCCAGAACCTTCCATGGACATTCCAGAACCTTCCATAGGGGACCAAGACCCCTCCTGAGGGGACACAAGAACATCCCTGTGCTTCCAGAACCTTCCACAGAATTCTAGAAGGCTCCAGAACCTTCCACATGGGACCAAGACTTCTCCTATGGATCCAGAACATTCCATGGAATCCCAGAACCTTCCAAAGAGGACCAAGACCCTTCCTGATGATCCAGAACGTTCTCCAGAACATTCTCCATGGATCCAAAACATTCCGTGGAATTCCAGAACCTTCAACGCGGGCCCAGGAATTCCAAAACTCTTCCAGAACTTTCCGCGGTGATCCAGAACCTTCCCCAGTGGGTCCCGGGCTCCTCCTACAGATCCGGAACTTTCCACGGGGTTCCAGAACCTTCCGTGCAGGACTCGGAACATTCCAGAAGCTTCCACAGCGATCCGAGGACCTCCCTAGGGATCCAGAACTTTCCAGAACTTTCCAAGTGCTTCCAGGTGGACCAGGAACCTTCCAGAACTTTCCATTGAATCCCAGAACTCTCCGGAAGGTTCCAGAACTTTGAGAACTTGCCACAAATTCCAGGATTTCCTGTGGAATTCCAGAACTTTCCACAAGGGTCCGAACTTCCCATGGATTTCCAGAACTTTCCAGACATTTCCAGATCTTCCACAGGGACCTTAGAACCTTCCATGGGGGTGCAGAAATTCCAGAATTTTCTATGGAATTCCAGAACTTTCCAGGTGCTTCCACAGGGATCCAGAACCCTCCATGGGATTCCAGAACTTCCAGAACTTTCCATGGGATTCCAGAACTTCCAAAACTTTTCATGGAATTCCAGAACTTCCAGAACTTTCTACGGGATTCCAGAAATCCCAGAACTTCCAGGTGCTTCCACAGGGATCCAGAACATTCCACAGAAATCCCAGAACTTCCCACGGAATTCAAAACTTCCGGAACTTTCTGGGGGGGATCCAAAACTTTCCAGAACTTTCCAGGGGATCCAAAACCTTATAGAACTTACCATGGAATTCCAGAACTTTCCAGACATTTCCAGGTGCTTCCAGAGGGATCCAGAAATTCCGGAACTTTCCACGGAATTCCGGAACTTCCCACGGAATTCCGGAACCTTCCAGAGGGTCCCAGGCCCCTCCCCCCACCCCCGGAAGTCCCGGAAAAGGGGGAGGGGCCTCTCCAAAGGCAATAAGAGCCCCTCCCCCCTCATTAGGGGAGGGCTCCAATCTTTAATTAATAATAATAATAATTAATGAGGATGAATTAATTAATAATAATTAAGGAGCTTCCAGGCGTGGCAATCCAGGCACTTTGATCCCAAAAAATTCCTAAAAAATTCCCAAAAATTTCCTAAAAATCCTTAAAAATTCCCAAAATTCCTTAAAATTGCTAAAATTCCCTAAAAAATTCCTTAAAAATTTCCTAAAAAATTCCTTAAAAATTCCCTAAAAATTTCCTAAAAAATTCCCTAAAAATTTCCTAAAATTCCCTACAAAATTCCCTAAAAAATTCCTAAAATTCCCTAAAAATTTCCTTTAAAATCCTAAAATTTCCCTAAAAATTTCCTTAAAAATCCCAAAAAATTCCCAAAAATTTCCTAAAAAATTCCTTAGAATTTCCTAAAATTTTCCTTACAAATTTCCTTAAAAATTCCTAAAATTTCCTTAAAAATTCCTTTAAAATTCCTAAAATTTCCTTTAAAATTCCCTAAAAATTTCCTTAAAAATCCCTAAAATTTCCAAAAAATTCCTAAAATTTCCTTAAATTCCCTAAAAAAATCCTTTAAAAATTCCTAACATTTCCTTAAAAAATCCCTAAAATTTCCTAAAAATTTCCTTTAAAATTCCTAAAAATTCCCTAAAAAATTCCTAAACTTCCAGAACCTTCCATGGACATTCCCTCCAATCTTTAATAAAAATTCTAAAAATTCCTAAAATTTCCTTAAATTCCCTAAAACATTCCTTTAAAAATTCCTAACATTTCCTTAAAAAATCCCTAAAATTTCCTAAAAATTTCCTTTAAAATTCCTAAAAATTCCCTAAAATTTTCTAAAAAAATTGTAAAATTCCCAAAAAATTTCCTTAAAAATTCTAAAAATTTCTAAAAATTCCTAAAATTTCCTTAAAATTCCCTAAATTATTTCCTGGAGTGGCTCAGGGTTTGAAACCCCTCCCCCCTTCATCCCCAAAATCCCCAAAAATTCCCCAAAATTCCCAAATTCCTTGGCTCAGGGTTTGAAACCCCTCCCCCCTTCATCCCCAAAATTCCCAAATTCCCTTCTATAAAACACTATATTTGTATAAATGGCACCGTTTTTATCCCAAATCCCAAATTTTTTTCCCTTTTTTTTGCTGGTTTTGGGATGAGGGGAACATTCCCGAAATTTCCCCAAGATGTCCCCAAAAAATCCCCAAAATTTGGGATTTTTCCCTCCCCGTTCCCTCCTTTTTTGTCTTATTTAATCCCCTCCCCCCTCCCGTTCCCAGAAAATTTTGTGGATAGGAATAAAAATTCCCAAAAATTTTGTGGGTTTGAGTTTGGAAATTTGGGGAAAAAGGGAATTTTTGGGGGAAAAAGGGAATTTTGGGGGGAAAAAGGGAATTTTGGGGGGAAAAATGGGAATTTTGGGGGGAAAAATGGGTATTTATTTAGGGAAAAAGGGAATTTTGGGGGGAAAAATGGAATTTTGGGGGGAAAATGGGAATTTTGGGGGGAAAAAGGGAATTCTGGGGTGTCAGGGATTTATTCTGGGGTCACTCCTGGGGTCACTTTTGGGGTCCTGGGTCCATTTTGGGGTCACTTTTGGGTGATTTTTGGGGTCCTGGGTCACTTTTGGGGTCCAGATTTGGTTTTGGGGTCTCAGAGGTTGTGGGGGTCACTTTTGGGGTCACTCCTGGGTCACTTTTGGGGTCTGGGGTCACTTCTGGGTCCAGGGTGACTTTTGGGGTCACTCCCGGGGTCATTTTGGGGTCCTGAAATCACTTTTGGGATCGCTCCCGGGGTCATTTTTGGGGTCACTTTTGGAGTCCTGGGTCCATTTTGGGGTCTCAGAGGTTGTGGGGGGCACTTTTGGGGTCACTCTCAGAGTCATTTTTGAGGTCTTCCTGGGGTCATTTTTGGGGTCTGGGGTCAATTTGGGGTCCAGAGTCACTTTAGGGGTCACTTTTGGGGTCACTCCTGGGGTCACTTTTGGGGTCCAGGGTCACTTTAGGGGTCCCTCCTGGGGTCACTTTTGGGGTCCAGGGGTCACTTTTGGGATCGCTCCTGGATCATTTTTGGGGTTACTTTTGGGGTCCTCAGGGTGACTTTTGGGGTCACTTTTAGGGTCTGGGGTCATTTTTGGGGTCTCAGGAATCCATCCAGAGTCACTTTTGGGATCACTCCTGGGTAATTTTTGGGGTCAGGGGTCACTTTTGGGGTCACTCCTTGGGTCATTCCTGGGGTCACTTTTGGGTCCAGGGTCACTTTTGGGGTCACATCTGGGGTCACTCCTACGTCATTTTTGGGGTCCAGGGGTCACTTTTGGGATCACTCCTGGGTAATTTTTGGGGTCAGGGGTCACTTTTGGGGCCACTTTTAGGGTCCCGGGGTCACTTTTGGGTCCAGGGTCACTTTTGGGGCCACTTTTAGGGTCCCGGGGTCACTTTTGGGTCCAGGGTCACTTTTGGGGCCACTTTTAGGGTCCCGGGGTCACTTTTGGGTCCAGGGTCACTTTTGGGGCCACTTTTAGGGTCCCGGGGTCACTTTTGGGTCCAGGGTCACTTTTGGGGCCACTTTTAGGGTCCCGGGGTCACTTTTGGGTCCAGGGTCACTTTTGGGGCCACTTTTAGGGTCCCGGGGTCACTTTTGGGTCCAGGGTCACTTTTGGGGCCACTTTTAGGGTCCCGGGGTCACTTTTGGGTCCAGGGTCACTTTTGGGGTCACTTTTAGGGTCCAGGGGTCACTTTTGCGATCGCTCCTGGGGTCACTTTCGGGATCATTCCTGGATCATTTTTGGGGTCGCTCCTGGGGTCACATTTGGGATCATTCCTGGATCATTTTTGGGGTCACTACTGAGGTCATTTTTGGGGTCACTTTCGGGGTCTCAGGAATCCATCCAGAGTCATTTTTGGGGTCACTCCAGGGTCACTTTTGGGGTCAGGGGTCACTTCTGGGTCCAGGGTGACTTTTGGGGTGCCTCCTTCTTTTGGGGTCACTTTTAGGGTCAGGGGTCACTTTTGGGGTCTCAGGAATCCATCCAGAGTCACTTTTGGGATCACTCCTGGGTCATTTCTGGGGTCACTCCTGAGGTCATTTTTGGGGTCCAGGGTCACTTTTGGGGTCACTTTTAGGGTCAGGGGTCACTTTTGGGGTCTCAGGAATCCATCCAGAGTCACTTTTGGGATCACTCCTGGGTCATTTCTGGGGTCACTCCTGAGGTCATTTTTGGGGTCCAGGGTCACTTTTGGGTTCCAGGGTCACTTTTGGGGTCACTTTTAGGGTCTGGGGTCACTTTTAGGGTCTGGGGTCACTTTTGGGGTCTCAGGGATCCATCCAGAGTCACTTTTGGGGTCACTTTTAGGGTCCATGGGTCACTTTTGGGATTGCTCCTGGATCATTTTTGGGGTCTTCCAGGAGTCATTTTTGGGGTCCAGAAGTCACTTTTTGAGGTCATTTTTGGGGTCCCTCCTGGGGTCACTTTTGGGGTCACTCCCAGGGTCATTTTTGGGGTCCAGGGGTCACTTTTAGGGTCAGGGGTCACTTTTGGGGTCTCAGGAATCCATCCAGAGTCACTTTTGGGATCACTCCTGGGTCATTTCTGGGGTCACTCCTGAGGTCATTTTTGGGGTCCAGGGGTCACTTTTAGGGTCAGGGGTCACTTTTGGGGTCTCAGGAATCCATCCAGAGTCATTTTTGGGGTCACTCCAGGGTCACTTTTGGGGTCAGGGGTCACTTCTGGGTCCAGGGTGACTTTTGGGGTCCCTCCTTGGGTCACTTTTAGGGTCTGGGGTCATTTTTGGGGTCTCAGGAATCCATCCAGAGTCACTTTTGGGGTCACTCCTGGGTCATTTTTGGGTTCACTTTTGGGGTCCTGGGTCACTCCTGGGGTCACTTTTGGGGTTCCTCCGGGGATCACTTTTGGGATCTGGGGTCACTTTTGGGGTCTCAGGGATCCATCCAGAGTCACTTTTGGGGTCACTTTTAGGGTCCATGGGTCACTTTTGGGATTGCTCCTGGATCATTTTTGGGGTCTTCCAGGAGTCATTTTTGGGGTCCAGAAGTCACTTTTTGAGGTCATTTTTGGGGTCCCATTTTTGGGGTCACTTTTTGGGTCACTCCAGGGTCATTTTTGGGGTCACTCCTGGGATCGCTTTTGGGGTCCAGGGTCCATTTTGGGGTCACTCCTTGGGTCAGTCCTGGGGTCACTTTTGGGGTCCAGGGGTCACTTTCGGGATTGCTCCTGGGGTCATTTTTGGGGTCACTTTTGGGGTCCAGGGGTCACTTTTGGGATCACTCCTGCATCATCCTTGGGGTCGTTCCTGGGATCACTTTTGGGGTCGTTTCAGTGGTCACTCAGGGTCATTTTGGGGTCCTGGGTCACTCCGGGGGTCCCTTTTGGGGTCCCTCCTGGGGTCCAGGGTCACTTTTGGGGTCCAGGGGTCCCTTTCGGGATTGCTCCTGGGGTCATTTTTGGGGTTACTTTTGGGGTCCCGGGTCATTTTTGGGGTCCAGGGTCCCTTTTGGGGTCCCTCCTGGGGTCCAGGGTCACTCCGGGGGTCACTTTTGGGGTCACTCCTGGGGTCACTTTTGGGGTCCCTCTTGGGGTCCAGGGTCACTTTTGGGTGCAGGGTCACTTTTGGGGTCCCTCCTGGGGTCACTTTTGGGGTCACTCGGTCCAGCGGTGGCCGCAGTGCGGGGCCGTGCACACGTAGTAAAGCCTCATGGCGTCCTGTGGGATTTGGGGGAAATTTGGGGAAAATTCCTGGAAAACTTCCCCAAAAACCTCCTCACAAAATACCCCAAAACCCCTCCCCAAAATCCCCCCCCAAAAAACCCCAAATCCCCCAAGACCCCTCCCCAAAATGCCCAAAAACTCCAACAAAAAACCCCGAAGTCGCCTGGAAGTTCACCCAAAACCCCAAAAATTCCCAAAGACTTCTCCCAAAATCCCCTGGGACCCCTCCCCAAAAAACCCCAAAATCCCCTGGGACCCCTCCCCAAAAAACCCCAAAATCTCTTGGGGCCCCTCCCCCAAAAAACCCCAAAATCTTTTGGGACCCCACCCAAAAAAACTCCAAAACCTTTCCCCAAAATCCCAAAAAA